TCTTCTAAACGGTAATAGATAGGTATAGGGAAATAGTATATGAATTTGTTGACAAAGTGATAATGAATCATAATATGATATTATATATGGGGTGTTCCATTTGAAAAATCAAAGAAGCCGCTACTTTATAGTAGAAGCGACAACGCCGCTTCGTCTAAAATATTTTAGGAGTGTAGATCATATTGACTTATGCATACTGTGGAATTTTCAGGTTGATCTGTTGAATAGTTTGCCAGAAACGGCTAGTTAACGCTCATCATGAAAAGCCCTGTATACAAGGTTCAATGCTAATGCGAACCTTCGATGATATTGAGGAAGTTATCAAACATAACTGGCTGATATCTCAGTTGCCACGAAAGAAATAACCAGGAAAGGAATTTTTGGCAAAAACATGACAATCTGCATTGATAGCAGACAAGCCCTATTAGCCTTGAACAGACAACGTATAACCTCAGGGCTAGTACTAAAGTGCCACCAAGATTTAGCCAAAGCCTCCGTAGATAATTACATTATCCTAAAAGGGCACGACAGGAGTGAAGGTAATCGCATTGCCGACTCTTTAGCCAAGGAAGCGGCTGGACTAAAAATTTTAGGACCCAGTGGCACCTACGGCCTGATGACTTCGACAACAGCGGAACAAGCCAAACGTCACACCCATGCTCAATCCCTGGAGAGATGGGATAGAATTGAAGGATGTAATCTTGCCAGGATCACCCTGGGTGGCCTTGGGAAGCTGGCCCCGAAGAAATATCTGGCGATGACCAGGAAAAACAGTAACAGTAGGATTTCTGACTGGCTACTGTCAACTACGGAAACACCTCCATAATATGGGGCTAGTAGACACACCTCTATGCAAGATGTGTGAACAGGAAGATGAAACTGTCAGGCATGTCCTATGTGAGTGCCCGGAGTTATCGTCAATAAGAGAGTGTGTGTTCGGCGAGTCTTGACCTACGCCTGCCGATTTAAAGGAGATGTCTCCCAGAGACCTGTCCACCTTCCTGGAAAGGACGGGATGGACGATGACCTATGAGGACAACTCCTCGAGAGGATGTACAATGGGTCATATGTGGCCTAAGCGCTGTGGACTTACAGTCACCCTCCCTACTCTACAGATACAG